CATATACATACACATATTAATTTGAAAGTTAAAATATACAAAAAGGAGCCTGCATGGCCAAGACAATCCTAAGCAAAAAGAACAAACCTGGAGGCATCACACTACCTGACTTCGAACTGTAACTACAAGGCTTCAGTAACCAAAACAGCATGGTAATGGCACCAAGACAGATATATAGAGCAATGGAACAGAACAGAGGCCTCAGAAATTACACCACATATCTACAACCATCTGATCTTTGACAAACCTGACAAAAACAAGCAATGTGGAAAGGATTCCCTGTTTAATAAATGGTGTTGGGAAAACTGGCTAGCCTTGTGCAGAAAGCTGAAACTGGATCCCTTCCTTACACCTTACAAAAAAATTAACTCAATTTGGATTAAAGACTTAAACATAAGGCCTAAAACCATAAAAACCCTAGAAGAAAACACCAAAAGTGATGGCAACAAAAGTCAAAATTGACAAATGGGATCTGATTAAACTTAACAGCTTACACATGGCAAAAGAAACTATCATCAGAGTGACTAGGCGGCCTACAGAATGGGAGAAAAGTTGTACAAGCTATCCATCTGACAAAGGGCTAATATCCAGAATCTACAAAGAACTTCAACAAATTTACAAGGAAAAAGAAAAAACACCACCATCAAAAAGTGGGTCACAGAGATGAACAAACACTTCTCAAAGGGGTACGTTTACGCAGCCAACAGACAGATGAAAAAATGCTCATCATGACTGGTCATTAGAAAAATGCAAATCAAAACCACAATGAGATACCTTCTCACACCAGTTAGAATGGCATTAATTAAAAACGAGAAACAACAGATGCTGGAGAGGATATAGAAAAATACGAATGATTTTACACTACTGGTGGGAGTGTAAATTAGTTCAACCCTTGTGGAAGACAGTGTGGCAATTCCTCAAGGATCTAGAACTAGAAATACCATACAACCCAGCAATCTAATTACTGGATATATACCCAAAAAATTATAAATCACTCTACTATAAAGACACATGCATACATATGTTTATTGCAGCACTGTTCACAATAGCAAAGACTTTGAACCAACCCCAATGCCCATCAGTGATAGACTGGACAAAGAAAATGTGGCATATATACACCATGGAATACTATGCAGCCATAAGAAAGGATGAGTTCGTGTCCTTTGTAGAGACATGGATGAAGCTGGAAACCATCATTCTCAGCAAACTGACACAAGAACAGAAAACCAAGCACCACATGTTCTCGCTCATAGGTGGGGGTTGAGCAATGAGAACACATGGACACAGGAAGGGGAATATAACACACCAGGGCCTGTAGAGGGAAGATGGGCTGGCGTAGTGATAGCATTAGGAAAAATACCTAATGCAGATGACGGGTTGATGGGTGCAGCAAAACACCATAGCACATGTATACTTGTGTAACAAACGTGCACGTTCTGCACATGTACCCCAGAACTTAAACTATAATTTAAAATTAATTAATTACAAAGAAAGTTAAAATACATTGTTTTTAAGTAAACTGGCTTCTTCGTTGAACTCAAATATCTTTTGTGCCCTCTCTTGACAAGAAAAGAAACAGGAAAAGAAAAAATAAAAATGGGGAAAAGAACCACATATATTTGGATAAGAAAACAACCGTTTCATTTAAAGGGATCTAAAAAGACTGCTACCAAACATCTCAAACACATAACCAAAATGCAGAATACAACTAATCCTTCCCTATAACTTATGACTATAAATGGCAGAGGGGCTGGGGGTAGAGAATACTATAGACATTAAGAACACTATCGACATTCTTAGAATTCAGATTTCTAGTTTCTAGGCCCTGATGATTGGAAATTGTCAAGGAAATAGAAACAGTGTTCAAGTAAAATTTATGGAGGCTAACTTAACCTCCACACACAATGACTGCTGAATTTGAAAAAAGATATTAAAATACTTCAGGTCTGAATATATTTTAATTTTAATCACATCATAATTATAGGGTCCTTATAAATTAATCAATCTGTGGCTGCTTGGAATTTGGTGTGGTCTAAAAATATCTAGAAGACAGGGAATAGGATCAGTTCTTAAAAGTAAGATTAGTTCTTGCTTTTAAGAACTGTTCCTTAAAGTATTTGTAAGAAGTTTGAAGCTACAGAATTTTGCAAATTCACCTTATGTCTTAAAATATTAAACCTCTACATATTAGTAATATTACATATATTTAAACTAAAAACTTATTTTACATTAAAAATAAGATTACATTCAGTTGTGTGAAGGAATCTAACAATGGACACTAAATAGCCAAACATTTCTGACTCCTACACACCACTTGAACACAGGACACTTGCAGGAGAGGCTATCAAAATAAAGGGTGAAGAATATTTACATGTCCATCCTACAGCATCATCTGTTAGAATAAAGGGGTTGATTAACATTTTTGTGATTCAGCCATGTCTTTTAGAAAATATAAAAATCAAACATACAATTACGTATAATACTCTGTGTCTAACATCTGCACAAATATTGTAGGAAAGTAAATTTGCCCACTATTGGAAATCTAGGGCCAAACAGAGTCTTCCAAAAGATCTTTTCCTTGACTTTCTTTCTTCCAACGCCCACCACCCCCATGATTAGGAGGGTTTATCAGTGGTGAGTATGAATCAGAAATCAGAAGTATGCAATATCTGTTAATATCTTTCTTTGTTTCTTTTTGAGAAGTTTTACTCTTGTTGCCCAGGCTGGAGTGCAATGGCATAATCTCGACTCACTGCAACCTCCACCTCCCGAACTCAAACAATTCTCCTGCCTCAGCCTCCAGAGTAGCTGGGATTACAGGCACTCGCCACCAGGCCTGGCTAAATTTTTGTATTTTTTTAGTAGAGACAGAGTTTCACCATGTTGGTCAGGCTCATCTTGAACTCCTAACCTCAGGCCATCCACCCATCTTGGCCTCCCAAAGTACTGGGACTACAGGCGTGAGCCACCACGCTTGGCCAATATCCCTTTTAAACCAAGGTAAACAGATTGTTACTGAAGGGTTCCTCTCCCATCTCTCCCTTATTATGCATAAAGTCCCGAGTATAAAAGAGTAGTCATTGAAATTTAATTTTCCTGATCCCATGAATCTCCCCATTATACAGTAAGACCAACCAATATATGCTCCCACAAGGGACTTTGGGAAGTTTCACAGTGATAGGATATCTCTTTTCTTGGTCTGCATGGAAACTGGACAATATGAAAGTGCAGGGGCATTGAGGGAGGTGTTTGTGTTTGTTTTTGAACCCATATTTATTTAATCTTATTCTACCTTCAATCCACTGGGCCCAAGGGGTTACTTCAGAGGGCCATGCTAACAGGAATACAAGTTGCAGTTTCATGAAATTTGCATATCCCCTCCTTCAAGGAATAATCAGTGTTCACCAGAGGAAATTGAAAAGCAAGGACATGGGGAAGATTCCAAGGATCCACTCAAACTCCTGGTGTTTTTGTAATTGTTCTGTGTTTTAGACACGCTTTCGTTTAAGGGAAGAAATGACCTGAGCCAACTGGGATAAAGAAGAGGTTGAAAATGCATGTGTCTTAGGCAGTTAGGAGTTTTAGAGAAAATATCAGGGTAATTTTTAGAATCTTGGCTTAAGGCCAAAGCTTCTGAATCAAGGAAAGAGTGACGGTTGCCTAACTATTTTTACTAATATATAGGTGTGTTACCATTATTACCTACCAGAAATAGTATAATATTAATCAAATCAAATTATATGAGTACTACACTAGAAAAATGGCAGACATTTAATATTATATTAAAGTTTAATTAATGGTAAGACTTTTCAAGGTGCTAATAGTTATACGCAGCTCTTTGGCAAAAAGTCAAAGTATGAGACATACAGAATAGATACAATGTTGGACTGCCAGAAAATCTGCCTCTCCCTCCCGCTCCCTCCCGCTTCCTCCCGCTTCCTCAAAATATATTAGGAACAAGCATTTGCTATTATTATTTCAAGTATTTACGCAAAGTAATTTTAAATTATTTAAAATTCCATATGTTAATCATAGTTCATAAGTTAGATTCTTAAACATTTGTGCCATTAACAACAGTCAGAAACATAACATTATTTCATTGGTATTAAATGAGGCAATCTACAGCTTGATTTAAAAAAAAAAAAACTAAGCGTATTTATTAAAATTATATTTTTACATAGAGTTAGAAAACTTGCCCACGTAAAGAAAACTGTTGACCAATTGCCCGTTGTTGTATCTAACTTCTATATTGTTCTTACTATAGGCTATGCTCTGTCCTCCTAGATTTATATATATTAATTTTTTCTCACAACAACCTTATGAGTTGGAACTATTATTGACTCCAATACAGAGATGACGAAACTCAGCCCCAGTTTCTTCCCCATGGTAAAGTAACAGTGAGTAATTGGGGACCAGAGATTTAAAACTAGTCCATGTGGCTCTAGAAGTCTTACACTTAACCACTATGCCAAAAAGCACTGCACCATAAATCTGCTGACCCAGAAAAGGTGAAGAAATAATACACACCTGGCTTCTTATCACATGTGTTTTCCATCATGAAAGCAAGAGTGGTTTCAAATCTTGAATGTGTTAATAATCATATCAATTTTCCACTTAATTTACTTTATGTGTACACAATCTAAAAACACAACCTTCTCCATTTATTTTCCTTTCTCTGTATCAATGTATTAAATTTGGCCTCTTCAAAGTCACAGAATGAAATAGACATGCACTATACGGACAGAGCAACATGTGAATGACACAGTCACACATTCAACACCTTTGAATTAAATTTTTCTAACATGTTTTCACTTTCAAAAATATGACAAGAAAAGGTCAGGAGGGCCAAATCTTCCTTTTCTTTGCTGGCACCTCCACACTGAGTCTATTTAATGGTTCCTTTTATATGTTGCATCTTGCCAGTTAGTTCAATTTAGATGAAAGCGGTTGTTTTCTAATTATATCTCACTGTAAAGGACAGAGACAAATGGTCATATTACCTTGAGAGTTCCTTTGGCAGAATAGGCTGCATATGAGTAGAGGAGGTCTTGGCTGCTATCTTTTCTGGCTTCTTCACCGCAAGGCCGGCCATCAGGATGAAAGCACTCACCACTGCTGCTTAGAGTCACAGTGCTGGGAGAAAGGCCTGGCAGATTCAGCAGCACAGAGTAATTTACAAACTGTACATCTTCTAGGCCCAACGAAGCCCACTGAGTCTTAATCTTCTTTGAAACTTCCATGTCATCTTCACTTTTATATAGTTGTACCAAATTTCTGAAATAAATTTTAAAAGAAAAACTTTTTTTAAAAGGATAATTATTTATTCTTTTGAGATATGGCTGCTTAATATATGAACAACATTAATGGATGTTGTGGAATATTGAAAGATGAATGAGACAGGACCCTATCACATGAAACTTAAACACAAATCAAAGCGGAATGAATTAATTTCTTAAATTAAGAACTAATAATCATTGTGGTGGCTCATGCCTGTGATCTCAGCACTTCAGGACGCCAAGGAGGGAGGATTGCTTGAGAGCAGGAGCAGCCAGGACAACACAGCAACACCCTGTGTCTACAAACATTAAAAAAAAAAAAAAAAAATTAGGTAGGTGTCCTGGTATGCACCTGTGGTCCTACCTACTTGGGAGGCTGAGGTGGGATGATCACGTGAGCCTGGGAGTTGGAGGCGGCAGTGAGCTCTGATGGCACCACTGCGCTCCAGCTTTGTTGACAGAGCAAGACCCTTTCCAAAACAAACAAACAAAAAACAAAGAAAACCACGTAAAGCACTATGGCATTGCAGAGAAGAGTGAAATTAATGCCAACTAGTTCTTCTGTTAGTTCTGATTCTTCTATCAACATCAACATAATCCACTTAAAAGTCAGTTCCAAAATCTAGGTGTCATTCCAGTTGAGATATTTCTTTGTTACAGTTAAAGCGATTTCATATGATATGATATGATTGACATATAGCTATTGTTCTTTAAAATAATACAGAGAGAGAGCTCTTTAGATACAAATTTTATGCCAAATTACATGATGCTATGAGCACAGTGTTTTCCAGTAGACTCAAAACAAAAACATAAATTGCCAAATCAATATGAAATTAATTTTTGTGTTGTATTTTCTGTACTTTGTATATTTATTCCTATGTATCTATCCTATAATTCAGTGACACTATTTTTGCTTATGACATATTAGACGCCAGACAAAATCTATTAAATATTTTGTATAGTACCTAGAAGAAAATCAGACATGAGAACTTAATAAAAGTAATTTAATCCAGATAAAGTTGTTTTTTATTTTTAATTTTGTGGCTGGAATATAATAAAAAGGGACTAAAAAGGAACAATTTCCTTTTGGGGCAAAAATGTATCTTCTTAAAAGAATCTTATTGCTATCCAAGCTATTACCTAAATGTTTATTTTGATATAATTGCCCATCACATTGTTTTTCTCACTTATTTCCTCTAAGACCCTGTTTATTCAACAACTCCTAAACCAGGCTTGTTTAACCTATGACCCATGGGCTGCACATGGCCCCAGGACAGCTTTGAATGTGGTCCAACACAAATTCATACGCTGTCTTAAAACATTATGAGGCTTTTTAAAAAGATTTTTAAATTTTTTATTTTAGCTCATCAGCTATTGGTAGTGTTAATGTATTTTATGTGTGGCCCAGGATAACTCATGTTCCGCTGTGGCCCAGGGAAGCCAAAAGATTAGATACCCCCTCAACACGACGTGCATGGAAAAGAAATAGGAAACAGATACAATAGTGGTAAGAAAGCATTACAAGAGATAAAAGGTAAGTCTGATGCCACAGCTGAGAAGCTGGCCTACACAGGAAGATGCAATAAAAAGTTACTCACTTATGTCTAATCTTTTTGAAGCTACTCCTATTTTTGCTTTCTTCCCCCTTCCTTTATTATTATTTTAATATCTACTTGGATCAGTCAACAGAGCAACCTACGTTTTATGGAAGAGCTGCTGAGAAGAATTCTATTCTTTTTCATTCCCATTAAGAGTGATCTGCCTTCGACTTTGTTTCATTGTTGTTACTTTATCTGTTCTCTACGTTTCCTTACCCCCTTTCTCTATTGCTGTTGTATTCTCGCTGTATATTTGGGATAGGGCAGGTAAACTGAGTTAAAACAACACAATTTGACAGGAAAGTCATTTATTTAAAAAGGCGCATCAAAAATGTTCTTTAAAATTCATATAAATTGAGGTTTTAAAACACATATTTATATAAACATAGCAATATATGGTCTACATTGACAAACAAAGAGAAGAAAAATGTGAAGATTGCTTTAGATTTTGTTTGTTCCTGTACACCGTTAATTAATAAAAATTAATCAATTTTTATTGATTAATTGCACAGGGCATGTGCAAGATGTTCAATCTATCAATCTTTTTGTTGGTCTCAGTTGCTTTATGGTGCAAGCAACTGAAAACATGGAATGTTATACAATAGGGCCTCCAAAGGCAAATGAAATACTTCTTTTAGGGCTCAACTGAAGAATTAATAATTTGTCCCAATTGTGGAGAATTTCTAAATATTTTTCAGTACTAAGGTAAAATTAATGAGTCAAAAAATGTATATAGCCTTTACTTCACTTTTATACCATCATTTTTATATGATGAAATAATTTAAACACATAAAGAATATACAACATATATAATGTATACAATGTATAAAGAATAGTGAAAGGAACCACCCGGGTTATGAAGTAGAACATCTCTAATATTATCAAAGCCCCCTGGAATCGTTTTCCTCTATTGAGTCACTTACCTTGATCCCCAGGGTAAGCATCAATCTGATTTTGTTCCCCATTGTCTTTTTTTAATAGGTCTATATACATATATGTATATCTCTTTAACAATTTGTTTAATTTTAGGGATTTTACTTTTACATAATTGGTATCTTATATATGGTTTTCATATTTCCCTTTTTTACTCAATACTGGTTGTTTGGGATTCCTCCAAGTTTTTAATCAATTTTCCTGAGATAAATATTTTAAAACTGTTTTCAGCCTGTCACTATTGTAAACAATGCTGCACTGGATATTCTTTTTATTTATTTATTTATTTATTTATTTATTTGAGAGGTGGTCTCGCTCTGTCGCCAGGCTGGAGTGCAGTGGCGAGATCTCAGCTCCCACTCCGGGGTTCAGTTGTTCAAGCAAGTCTCCTTTCTCAGCCTCCAAGTAGCTGGGACTACAGGCATGTGCCACCATGCCCAGCTAATCTTTCTACTTTTAGTAGAGACAGGGTTTGCCTATGTTAGCCAGGATGGTCTGGAGCTCTTGACCTCGTGATCCGCCCATCTAAGCCTCCCAAAGTGCTGGGATTACAGGCGTGAGTCGCCATGCCTTGCCTGATATTCTTATTCATGTTTTCTGATAAACATATGAGAAAGTTTCTTTAGACAAGGAATTATTGGTCCATAAGGTATGCAGCTCAGTAACTTTAAAAGCATACTAAAAAATGCCAAAATGCTTTTAAAATATTTTTGATTACACTCTTGCCATCTCTTCATGAGAGCTCTATTTCCTCCATTCCTCACCAATACTTGGTATTGTCAATTATTTTATTTTACTTTTTTATTTTATTTGATACTTTGTCAATGTAGTGAGTGTAAAGTAACATTTCATTATATGTTTAACTCAGAAGTACAAATGCTGGATTCCAGGATATAGTAGTTTTCCAAGGCTTCCTTTACCACCCTCTGCTCTTGTATCTAATTTCTGGTCTCCAATGAAAATAAAATTGTATTCCACCGTGGTTTTAATTTGCATTTCCATGATTAACAATGAAGATCTTTTCATGCACTATTTAGATAGTCATGTTTCCTTTTATGTATAATAACTGTTCTTGGTTTTTGCCTATATTTATAGAAGTTTTTGTATGTTCTGAATAATCTTCTTTAGGTCATATGTATGGCACATATTTTATCTCAGTTTTGGTCTTCTCTTTTTATTTGCAATGTATTGTCTTAAGATAAGCAAAAGTTTATGATTTTAATGCATAGAGCTTTTAACATAATTGTTTTCACGTTTTCTGATGTGCTTAAGAAATCCTCAATCCTGTGTCCTGAAGTTACTTTCTTTTTTCTTTCATAAAAGTTTTAAGGAGTTTTTTTTCACATTTCAGTGTTTACTTGGAGAATGTGTTTGTATGTGAGTGCAGGTGTGTGGTGGGAGACAGGAATCCAATTTCACTTTTTTCCAACTTTGTCAAATACAACCTATTAATGCGCAATCACAACTCTGTCGTATATGAGTTGCCATATGTGTTTGGGTCTGTCTGGGTTCCCAAATCAATTCCATTTTTCTTTTTGTTCCATATCCATAATAATATGCTGTTTTCATTATTACAACTTTATTATAGGTCTTAATATCCAGAATAAACAAGCCACTCTACTTGTTTTTCATCAGGAAATCTTAACGATTTTTCTTTTCTCTTCCATATTGGAATGAACCCACTGATTTCCATGCCAACATTGTGACTGGAATTACATTGAGACTAAAGCGCAGTTCAGAAAGAAATGTCATCCTCATAATAATATAACAACAAATCCTTAATATTATTGCTATAATCTGAATGTTTATTCATATGTCAAAATCCTAACCCCCAAAGTGATTATATTAAGAGGTTGGGGGTCTTTGGGAGGTGATTATATTATGAGAGCAGAAAACTCATAAATAGGATTAGTGCCCTCATAAAAGAGGCCAGAGGAAATATTTTTGCTCTTTTCATCATGTGAAGACATAGCTAAAAAGCACTGTCAGTGAGGAAGCAGGCCCTTACCAGAAACCACATGCATTTTGATCTTGAACTTCACAGCCTCCAGAACGGTAAGATATAAATGTCTGTTGTTTACTTGTTATCTAAGACATTTTGTTATAGCACCCAAACAAATTAAGATAACAGTCAAATGTCTGGTCAATGTTAACAAACATAAAAATATGTTTTAAAATTTGCTGGTGTAGGGAAATGCTATTCAGGTGTTCTATAAAGTAATCCTGCTAAACTGTATTTTTAATTATAATAATTTTCTTCCATTTCTATGTAAGAAATTATACCATATGCAAAATAATTAAGGTTTTATTATATCTCTTCTAATTATTTAGAGATTTAACTTCTTTTGTATTACTACCCAGGCTATGACCTGCAGAAAATATTTAAAGGAATGACTAATAATGTGTGATAGTAGACATCCATGTTGTATTGTATATAACAGGTTAAAGATGTTCCTTCCATTTTCAT